CTCATTTGCTTTTGTATTGGTATCTTTTTTCATTTACCTGCTATAAAGTGCTGGCCAAGATTTTAAGGCCAAGGAAAATAAAATACTTTTTTACTTTGTCAGACTCAACCACTTATTTGAGTCGAGTGTCGAAAAATGAAAATAAGCGGACAAATTTAAATTAAAAACTTTCTTAGCATTTAACTGGGAGAATTTGAATACTGGTAAATTAGGCTAAATAATAACTAGTCAAAAGTTCAAGACCATATGTAAACAAAGTTTTAATTGATAAACACGTAACGAAATTTAGTAGTTTATGTTCAAAGCAGTAGCACAGTCAGTATCTCCTACTGGTATCTCCTGTGTTACATTAGGTAAAAACAGGGCAAAGGCTAAAAAGTTGACACTTTGAACGTAATAGAATTGCCGAGCCGTAAAATCGAGGTCTATCAACATGCCATCGATGGTGAGAATGGATGTAGTAAAACTACTGTTGCAAATTTCATAGAAGACCCTGTGGGATACGAAACTAGAATTTTAAGTGGTCGGTCTAAGAAATTTTCGTTGGTGTTGAGCAGGAAGATTCGATGAATTGTCCGGCAAGACCCCAGCTGATCATCGAACCAGATTAAGACCGCTACTGACGCGCAATGCCACTTAAGAACAATAAGACGGTAACTCCGAGAGAAAGACTTTAAAAACAGTAAAAGTCTTCAAAGTTCACGCCTCCTTACACACCATAAAACTTCGATGAAAAGCGCCAAACTTGGAACACAGAGAAGCGGAAGAAAGTTTTGTTCTCTCATGAGAAAAATAACGATGGTCTAGCCATTATTCCAACGTTACTAGCACGATAAGGATATCCCACCGGATACATTTTCTGCATGACACAGTAGATGTTCCATCATGACCCGGAGTGCTATCTCCTTCCAGGGAAAAATGCAGCTTCAAATTATACAGGGGTGTCAAACAGCGGCTGGTTACATTGGCATGTTGAAGAAAGAGCATCCTTATTGACTGAAGACACTCGCTTGCGTGAAAATTACTGGATTTCTCAGTCTGACAACGTTGCAGTTCATAACGACTACAGGACAAAGGACTTTTTTCATAGAAAATAACGTGATTCTTTTGGACGATCTAGCGTGTTCACCAGATCTGACCCCATTAAAATGTTTGGGGTGGATGTCAATTGAAGTCTATAGAAAAGAGCGTCAATTCCAAAGCGTGCAAGATCTTCGTGTAACCATTCTCACCACTTGGAATAACACTCCAACCAGCCCTCTGGCTCCTATATCGACCATGCCAAAGCGAACTTTTGAAATTATTCTGAATGACGGCCGTGCAACGCACTACTAAGACATCTTGATGCGCACTTACTATTTATGACTACTTTTAGGCTTGGTCTTAAACTTTTGATCAGCTAGTATTTAGCCAATTTTAATTTTTTGCAGATCTACTCAAGTAACGGAATATGACAAAGCAAAAGGTATACATTTTTTCTCTCTAAATTGTCCTTGAAATCTTTTGCCAGTAGTGTATCTATAAACATATCTATATATCTGGCGATAGAATGAATGCTATGAAACCAGTTATATCGATTTCCACCCCCATTTGTAACCATCTTCAAAAAACGAACCGCAGAGGTTATTATCAAACACTTCACAAATGTTGCCCAGGTGAGAGGAATTAAAGCCGACAAGAAATATGACTTTCGCTTCTCTAGATCAGCTGCTCAGGTGTTAACGATTATTTCTATCTCTAGACCTACACTGTATTAAATTTTAATAAATGATCTTCCTGATGCCATCAGTTCCCAACTCGGTATCTATGCTGATCACAACTATTTATTCCGATCTTAATAATAAGTCTGGTCGGTTCAAATTGGCAGATGATCTTAAAAAAAAAAAAAAATCTGTAGTTCAATGGAGCAAGTAGTGATTTGTTCATTTTAACGCTTCAAACCCCCAAATTTATTTTAACAGTTTCAGAGAACCTCTTCTTGCCTTCCATCAGTATGGCTGATGCTAACCTCCAGGAGAGTGACTCATTACACCTTCTCGGACGAACATTTTCAGCTGACATGAAGTGGAAAGACTATATTGATTCAATCGCTAAGTTTGCATTGAGAAAAGTTCGTCCACTATGTCACACTACATATTTTTCTTGTCAGAATCTATTTTACATATTTATAAATCTACTAATTCGTCCTTAATTTGAATATTGCTGCCACATCTGGTCTGGTGATCCTGTTATACATTTAGAGATTTATGATAAAATACAAAGAATCTGCAGTGTTATTGATCTTGACCTGGCATCTCGGCTTCAGTCCCTTTCCCACCATCGTAAAGTAGCTTTCCTGTGTCTTTTCTATAGGTACTTTCATGGTAACTGTTCTGATGAACCTTCTGCTATGATACCTAGACTTTATGTATTTAAGCGCAGTACCAGATTGGCAGTAAAATGCCATCATTTTACAGTTGAAATGGCAGGGATGCAACCGTAAGTTCTATGCTAACATTTTCTTCTATCGCACTTCTCACTAGTGGAAATCTCTTGACTTCGATCTTCAAAAAATTAAATGCAATGTCAATCGTTATCTTCTGTCTTAATTGTTATTCCTATATTTCCTCTCTCCTTACTATTAGTTTTTCTCATATTCTCTAACACTAAGTAACCCCCTTGCATCCTAGGGATTTCATTGCCTTGCTTGGAGTGAAATGATTGAAAAACAAAACAAAACAAAACAAAAAAACATTTCGAATATTGACACTTACCAACACATGAACCACTGGCATCCTGTTCAAAACCGGGAAGACATATACATTTGATATTACCCCTGATTTCGGTGCATCTGCCGTTTTCGCAATTACTGTAGTCTCTGCAGTTTTTATCTCCCTCCTCAGGCTTCTTTAAAGGTTCTTGAAAGGTTTTGCACAATTTCCTTTCGTCATCTGAAAAAAAAAATATTTACTTGAAACTCAGTTTATGTTATAGGTAATGAATTAATACAGATAATTAGGGTTTTGGAAAGTAATTTGATCTGATTTTGAAAATATACCCATTTTCCTGCTTTATTCTGAGATTGATTTGTATGTAGAATGTAGAGCCTATGTCTGAATTAACATTTTACACAGCGTCAAAAACAGTTTATATGCCGTTTTTCTTGCGAGTGATAAGAATTCTTGTCAATGTAAATCCATTGCTCAAATGCGAATGACGGACATTTCAACAGCAGCTCATCGAATTAATATGCTTTTAGAATCTGTATTTCTTATCCGAAATTAATGTATTAAATTAATTAGATTTCAAAATTGAGATTTTATATATCAGGAAAATTCATTTGGAAAGAGTTGCCATTTGTTGATGTAATTTGACACCGACCGTGAAACATGGTCGATAACTGCTGCATTATGCATGGTAATCTTACTATACTAGACAATGTTCCATAATGAGGTCGCAAGAGGAATTTTGTAAACTTTGGTCATGTGCTATATTGAACTGGAAAGTAGATAGTTTGAGGATTTCAGAACTAGTTTAACTTTCACTTAAGTACTTGTTAAGTTAGGATCATTTGAAATTGATCAAACTCATGTTTGATTATTTATTTTTAGAAGATCAGTTCTAAAAATTGTTTTCCTGCTTCTTTTTGCTAGGAAAGTCATTGGAATTTTATTGAAATTAATAACAAAGTGACAGACAATTTAAAAAAAAATGAGGATTTTGGGGCTGTACAGCACGAAATTCAGTCAGCGCAATTTTTTTTTCATATTTTATTTACTTTTTTGTTTTGAAATGTTCAACTTCAAGTAACGCCAAAAAAAAAAAAAAAAAAAAAAAATGGAGACGAAATTTGGCTTTCCTTTTTAGTCTAAGTTCCTAAATATTAAAACAATTTTTAAATCTACGACATATAAATAAAATTGTTCTCGGGGAGATATTTAAAACCTTTTCAATTTATTCTATGTTAACATTGATAATTATCCGTTTTTGGCACCATATTCCGAGCAACATAACAGTTTTCCATATAACGTTATCTAGAATCCTATTCCCATGATTCTTTTTCATTTTGAAGGGTTTTGGGTGAGGTTAACTCATTTTTGTACTGAAAGTCCCACGAAAAGAAGAGTTAAGCGCAAAATGTAAGCGCTTTTCGTGAATTTTCGTTGCCATCTAAGCTTTCTAAATCGAAACATTTGTTTTATTTTATCAGAAATGTAAAACTTTTCTTTTAATCTTGCTCTTAAGTACAAAACCTACTTGGTTCTATTGTGTGATTCCACTGTGTGTTATACGTACAAGTTCAAAATTTATTTAAACTCGAACAAATCATTCCAGAAGGAAATATATATATATATGCAATCGTCAGGTCTGACGATTGCATTTAGCATGAAACAGACTGTCGCCTCTAAGTGTTGACTTCTATGTTCATTTTAATATTTACACACGCTCTATCTGATATTGAGCACTTTATCCCATAGGTATAGCAAATCTTAAGACTATATATATATATATATATATATATATATATACACAAAAGCGCGAATCACTGGCCTCTGCTATGGTTAGCAATTGTCAGGACAGTAAGCTTATGGGAAAGTAGTTTGTCAAAGTGCAGGTGCTTATTCGCTCGCTGTTTATTGATCAACCATCATGACATACCAGTAACGAGACATTTCTTATCGAGATATCTGGTAGTGGAGCAGAACGCAGAGATGTGGATCCATATTTACCAAAAGCATTAGTGGTAAGTGAACGCAAATAATATTTAAAATTCTGTTTAACTGAACTATGCCAACTCTGGCTTAATGACACATTCCTGGATCTGTTACCATGAAAAAAGAATGCAAATAGCATTGATATAGTGTGAGAAATCCTCGTCCCTGTGAAAGAATTACAAACTATTCGTTTCTTTTTTTTTTGTGCTGTTGATAATGGAGAAACAGGATCCACTGTCTCAGGAGAAATGTAAATAAAAATGGAGCGTAAAACCATTGTCTAAGTATGACTTGGTATCTTTACTACAGTCACTTCTTCACAGACGTGATATGGCTTCCCTTTGTCTTTTCTACAAATATTTCCATGGTAACTGATTTGACGAGCAATTTCCCCCTGGTGTCCCGACCATTTTAAGCGTGCTACTATATTGGCATCTAGATCACACCTATTGACTTATTTATAGTTAAATGCAACCGATACTTCTAATTTTCTCGTACTTCCCGCCTGTGGAATTCCCTTCCATTTGCTTGCTTCCTTGATAATTACAATTTTCAAAAATTTAAATGCAACATAAATCGCCAACTTATATATGTCTTCTTGAATCCCGTTCATCTTTGGTTCTTTCTCCAATACTCCCTATATTCAGTCTTTTCTCTCACTTTCGCACCCTGTAACCTCCTGCGTACTCAGGGCATTCCCGCATTGCTTGGCGTGAAAAAAAAAGTTTACTCAAATGTAGGCAAATTAAAATCTCATAATTTCACTCGATTCTGTTTACTTACTTGACTGCGCCAATGGACAGATGTGACAGTTGTGCCGGTCTCCCCAACCGTAACCTCCTTGCTCGCAACAACAGTTACGGTATGTGGTTCGAGATCCCGATGTAGGATTCACACATTGGCGGTTTCGAATGTGAAGAAAGCACCGCATTTTGCGAACAGCTACAATGATGAATGAAAATAATCAATGAAAGAAAAAAAAAAAAACATTGCTCCGTCATGTTGCAAAGATCAGTTTGTTTTGAAGTATCGTTAGAATTTAATACTAGGCTTTCTCGGATTATGTTACATAAAACTAGAGTATAGAAGGTGCGAAAATAAAACAATATATATATATATATATAAAAGAGAGAGAGAAATATATATATATGTGTGTGTGTGTGTGTGTGTGTGTGTATGTGTGTGTGTAAATATAAATTTACGGGTGTTCACTTAATACAAGAGTAAAAAGTCAAGATCAAGGGTTATTGAGTCAGGTGTGTGACGTAAATGTAAGCAGGAGGTGATGATTATGTGGATAAAGAAGATAGGTAACAATAGATCTTCGACTTGAGCAGGGTAAGATCGCAGCGATCGGGAAAGCATCCACGTAGGAGTCTGTTCCATGGATATTGAAAAATATGAAAATTTTAAAGGTTTTTGGCAATTTCCTTCTATAAAACAGTGCAGAGGTTGATATGGCAGTTTCACAAACCTTTGTTAGTGACGCTTTTATCGGATGCTCTAAGAATTAAAACAATTTTAAGTTGCCTTCTGCATGTCTTCAAAATTAACCATTCGATCTATTAGTTACGAACTCACCTGTTAAAATATGCGACTACTTAAATTATGAAACTGTGTATATATGTGTGTGTACGTTTCAATGAAAATGACTGACAAGGCACTGCAATTAAACTTTTCATTATATTTTTCCTGCATCACACAAGAGATTTGTTTTGGCCATGGAGTGTGTAAGAACTGTTTAAATAATATTTGAACACAAACGCTTTCGGCTAATTTATTAGTCATTATCAAGGACATTTTTGCTGGTCTTAATAAGTAGATATTTTTAGCAATAGAATGGTTTTAATTCTTAACAGTAGTCAACATGTTGCTGTCGTTTTCACACTACTATTAAGAATGATTTCCTGTTCTATTATTTTTTAGCGTCTTCAGGATTTAGATAAATTTATTATTTTGGTATTTTCTACGATTATGTTCCGGAAAAGGTTGGTATGTCTCCATGTGTATTTAAATTAGTCCTAATAGGGCTGTTATCCGAGAGGTGCAAAGTAAGTCTTCTTGATAGGCATGTAGTTGTATGTCCGATATAATAATTATTCATGAATTTGTTTTCGTCAGGAACGCATTTCTCTAAGTGGACTTATAAAGTTATAAATATTGTTGCTCCTATGTAGTTTGGATCTTGAGCTATTGATGAGGTTGGCACTTTTAAATTTTTTTTATAATAAATAATCAATTTAATGTTCTCGCTTTAGACGAGTGGCGATGTATATTTCTAAGTGATGTGTGTATGTGTAAAAATTCAAATATATATGTCTGTAAAAATACAATATGAATGAAGATAAAATAAAAATCTTTACCAATGTGTTTCGTATTCTGACGGATTTTATCAAGGCAACTATAAAGATTTTATTTCGCAACATACATAACTATAACATTTTTTTTTAAATTAAAAGAAAACGGTTAAATCAAAACCTATTAAAATAAATATGATTTATCAAATTAAAATAAAAATACTTACATTAATAAATTAAATAAAGATATAAAAAATAAAATTCAGTAACGTTAACATTTTCTATCTTTTGAATTACATCACTTAGCGCCTTCCATAGTTTAACTTTCACAGTTAATCCTGAGAAAGTTTTTGAACGTTCGAAAATTTAAAAAAAAATTGAAAACTAACGCGTTTTTATTTTATTTCTGTTTACAAATTACATGCTGCATAATAAAAGCCTTACATTTATCTTGATAAATTCTCAAAAACGAAACGCCTTGTGTTTTTATATATATATATATATATATATATATATATATATATATATTATAGTATTTGATATACCTTTAAGAAACGAAGCAGAAAGAAAAAAAAACAGTATTGGGAAACTCACGGACACATCTTGTTTTGTCAGGACTTAATTCAAAATCTATATTGCAATCACAGAAATAACTGCCTTCAGTATTGATGCACCGGCCATTTTGACAAATTCCCAGCCTATCACGGCACTCGTCAATGTCTGCAACGAAGACAGATTTTGGAATAAAATTAAATAAAAATTCCGTAATTTGTCACTGAGAAAGGTGATAATATTCTATTTAGGTATATATTGGAATATCGTAACAAAACAATAAGGAAGAAGGAAGACAGAGACAGAAATAGAAAGTTCTGACGAATTCTTAACGGTACATAACACGAATGCTGTACCCCTTTTTTTACCACCATCTTTTGTGAGTCAGTGTAGTGACTTACAAAGAGACATCAAAAGCGACAGTGACAACTTAGTGGTAATTTTTTTTCATGGTCCAATTTTCCATTCTTTTACCTTGTCTCATGTACATTTGTATGTATAATCGCTTCTGTGTAAAAAAAAAACTGTAGCGAATTGATCCTCACTGTGTGCTTCGTACTTATGGTATCCTATAGGATAAGCTAAACTACTTCAATACCGATATGCAATGACTTGGCCAGATGACAGTTGACCACGAGGTTCATATTTTCAGCTGTTCCTTTTAAGTGTTTACATTAGCGCTTATTTGTTCATTATCTACAAGATAATAAAAAAGTCCTTGTTTTTTTTTTATTATAAAAAAAGGTATACAGCAAATTTCACATAGCTCAAGTCCTCAAAGTAATCCTTATCGGAACCCAGAACTTTTCGACAACGTGCTTCTAACACCGCAATAACCTGGCGGTAAAATCAGATTTCTTGGACGCAAAAGAGCCTAAGTGCCTGCCGTAAGTCTGCCTCGTTTGCAAAGGATTTCCCATGAAGTTGACTGGAAGAGGTTTTAACATGTTGGCGTAAGGTCCGAGGAATAAGGTGGATGGCAGTGTCTTCCAGCCAAAACGTCGTAATGTATCCCTGGTCCCATGAAGCCTTACATTGTCATGGACGAACAGTCCACCCTTGCTGGCTCCTCCTACTTCAGTGGCTGTTGCACACGTCCCAACTGCTGCAAGTACAGGTCCACATTGATGGTTTGGTTCATTGGTAGCAGCTCATAGTGCACCACTTGTCAACTAGTTCATCAGATAAGGAACATGATCCTGCATGGATGTAGAGGTGTTCATGTTGTGTAAGGTACAGGGTCCCGTGGTGAGAACCAATATCTGGCACGCTGAGTAGTGTCATAAAGGTTCAATTTTTCATCACTGGTGAGCATTCGATTAAATATGGGTACATTGCTGTGTCGAGAAAACAGCCAGAAACAGGCAGTCACTTGTTGGCTTCCGACAGTGTGTCGGGTACCCACTTGTATGCCTTCCCTATGCAGTGCAGGTGAAGTTTGACAGTTTCAGCAGAAACCTTGTGCATTCCTCTGTGGCCGTCTCCTGGGCTTCATCATCCAGGACCTGTCGCCGGCCATTGCAGAGTTAATCACAAAGGGACAGATCTGTCAACCTGAACTTCTGAAACCAATGCCTGGTAGTGTGTTCACTTAAAGAATTATCCTCAAAGCCTTGACGTATTCAGCGACTCGATGCAACTGACGACACGCTCACGTTAAAGCAATAAAGCAGACATCAACTGAACAGCTTCAACACCGTCATGTTTCCACGTCGCTGTTCGAGCTATGACTAATGTCAGATACCTGCATTGTTCAAGAGCTATACCCCATCCTCACCTCTTTTTCAGCTTGTGATGCACTCATTTGTGTATCAGTGATTACTTCTTCCCACACGACGTAAAAAAACAGCAAGGATTTTTTTTTTTTGTTACTTTATATTTACCAAAGATATTTTGTCGAACGAGCGTGTATATATTCCCAAAGGTATTATGAAGTGGGCAGAAATTACCTCAGACGGAATTACAACTTTACAAATTACCGGAATTGATAATTGTTACGACGTGTCTCTCAGTAAGAATCTACAAGAGGAAACCGGCGCGCATGCGGAACAGAAAAACAAAAACCAAAAAACTTAAGAACTTCTTTTCCTCGTTTACAGTGAAGAGAGCGTTTTAAAAAATAAATTGATTGTATCTCTTAAGGAAGGTCAAGTTTGTTGCGGAAACATGAAACTGGTTTCAAACAAATGTTCTGATATTTATAGATGGAGATAGGTTGACTGCATTTAAAATGACTTTTGAGAGATAGAAACATTCATATCAATCGAGATATATTTGAGAGTAGATATTAAGAAAAAAAAATTACAAAAGTATTTGATAATATAATCACAAATAGAAAAGGAACTGCACATTTCAAATTTATAATTTTGCGCATGCGCATCCGTTACCTATTCTGGACACTTACCGGTATCTCTGTCAGTGTGTTTCAGTTCAATGATCTAACATTATTCCTACTGAATTTATAATTTAGAATGGGATTTTGCATGAAATCACGCAAGGATCGCTCTTTACGTGCATAGAGGAGACAATGCTGAATGGTATGTTTTGGGAAAATTCTCAAAACGCTTGTGTAGCACACATTAAGTACAATTTTTATTCAAACATACTTATTTACTTCGTTAAAACAAAACTTTGCTTCTAAATTAATTTCCACATTTCACACAAAAGCCATACTTTCGCCTGGGAAAACGAGTTGAGATTCCGAATACCCACACATTGCTCTTCGCCACAATAGCGTCTATACGTTCTCATTAAGCACACGTTGCGTATTATATGGTGAACAATGCAATATATAACTTAAAGAATAAGCATCTTATTTTTGACCAGTCCGCGAATTGTTTAATTTCTGCACGAGAATCAGTAAAAGTTACTTCATTTTTTATGCTTGAGTCTTCTAGTAAATAGACATTTCAATGTAATTAGACTGGTAGAATTCTTGAATGTAGTTTAATATAGTGTATTTAATAATTTTCACTTTTATGGTTTTATTTTCATTTTTTTAATTGCTTAAGCCACACTAACGTCTGTATTTGAGCTGCTTAAGTTTTATTCACATTCTGAGTACAATTGTTTACAACAGAGTTGCTTATATAAAAAAACAACTATAAGTCTCTACGTACCTTCACATAGATTAGTCAATGGATTTTGTTTCTGTCCTTCTTTGCATTCGCAGACATAGGAACCAACATTGTTAATACACTTGCCCCCCACACACAAACCAGGAATCGCTTTGCATTCGTCCACATCTGAAATAGTAAAAAAAAAAAAAAAAATGATTTAAAATCCATTGTAAATCCGGTTGAGAGCTGCATTTAAAAAAAAAAAAAAAAAAAAAAAAAAAAGATAATTTTTTTTATTGCTGGGACATTGAGAGATATACAAAGATAAAATAATATCTTTTAATACGTTAACCCTTCAGGACGTAGACATGATTCTCCACAGCTTCTTTTTCTTCAATATTTCCGAATTACCGTGACTTCTTGGGAAAGACAGTAGAATTATTTCCTGTTGCCTACTCTACGGTTTGGAATTCAGATTTCTGGTTTCGAATGCGGACTGAGCCGGCTTACGCAATTTCTAACGCTCTTGAAAATCATTACCCTCCCCATAGTATAGCCTTTCATAACTAGGTTTATTTTTAAAATACAATGTCCGTTCAGAACGAGGTGATCATGGCACTCCAGATTCCTTTTCTATATTATCTACGAATTTTCATGCATTCTTGGAAAAGACAGAGTAGCTTCTTGTTGCTTTCTCCAAATCTTTACATCTCTTAAGAATGGTTTACCACCATAGAGAAGATCCAGTCTGCCTTGCTATTTGACCAATAGCGAGGGTGAAAAGAGAGGAAATCCTACCTTCACCAACGGCATTCACCACAATCCCACTTACCGCCCAGATATCAATCACTACTCGCACAGCCTAAACTACTACTACTACTAAGCGGCAACTACATAGATAACAAATGTGGCCTCAGCCGGGAAACGTTTACTTGCAGTAGGACTATGATCGCGCATATCTCGAACTAGACATCTACATTGTCGACAATATTTTCGTGTACGTCTACAGTGGTGTCCCAACTAGGCTACTGGATGACGTTCTGACATCTGGCTTCATCGTGTGTGGCATCATAAATTAAAACTCATTTGCTTTTTGGAAGGGATAGTTGAACAACGTCATGAAATTATAGAGAATCGTTCAAGCACTTCTGTTGCTATTTCTGAAACAGGATGACCATGTTGTTTTCCAGAAGAATAATGACCGCACTACTCAACATGATCTCTGATGTTCAACAACTTCATTCACATCTTTGCTTGATCACTCACTGAACCTAAATGAGATAATTTAAGGACGTCTGATTTGTTCAGTTCAATGCCAAGAGATGACAGAGTAGAGAACACGAAAATTAAGAACAAATGCAGGCATATATAAAGTACAGAAATTTAGTTTTAAGGTTTGCTATATTTATCGGATAAAGTGCTCAATATGAGAGAGAGAGAGAGAGTGTGTGTGTGTGTGTGTGTGTGTGTGTATATATGTATGTAAATATAAAAGCGAACATTGAAGTCAACACTCAAGGGCGACAAGCTGTCACCTGCCGATTGCGTCTAGCTGAGTGTTGACTTCAATGTTCAATCGATCTATAAAAGGCAGGATGTGTGTGTGTGTGTGTGTGTGTGTGTGTGTGTGTGTGTGTGTGATGAATGCACGGCTGCAATTTTCGACGGATTTGCACCAAAATTAACATGCACATGCTCCAAGTTAGCAAAAAGGCAAAGACCGACTTTGCATTTCCCAACTCCCATCGATAGTGGAAATAATCGATTTTTTCATGCTTCTACGTCAGTTTTCATGTAGTTTGTGGCCATTTTCTACTGACCAGGTAGGACGATTCTATTGGCCAGCGTGAGAGCCAACAGCTGACTGACACGAATGTTAACTAGCATGCTAGCATGCAAAAAAATCGATAGCTGCATTCGTCACAAGTGGGAAAAATTTAAATCTGCATGGCCCTTTACTCCAATTGGCTCATCCGTTTGATTAAACTCAACGTTGATTCTGATTCCGCAGAACTGGGTTGGGTGTGAAAAAATATATATTGTTAACATTCTTTTTTCATTCGGTTTTTCCAGTTACGAGTCTTTTTTTTAAAGCTGATCGTTTTGTGTTAATTTTGTTTAGTTCTTTTTTCGTAACAGATTTAATGTTTAGTATAGAGCTTAGAAAAAATTCGCAGTGTGAGATAGGCAAGAAGTAATGTATGTAGCAACATCAGCACGGAAAAGGCCACTCCTTTAAAGTCAAGGAAGGGCCAAAATATTTTAAGTCAAGTGATAGCGATTGCTGTACGGGTCGTACGATTTTTGAATCAAGCACAGGCAACGCTGCTAGTATATATATATATATATATATATATATATATATATATATATATATATATATATATATATATATGAAGAGACCTGCGATACACAAAAATAGGGAATATTAAAATCTGAAAGAAGATCGGCACTAAAAATGTACAGGAACAATGCAGCAAGACCAGTCAGATGGGATTGTAATTGAAATACGATTTCTGCATCGACAATATCACAGAAATTCTAAAAGAATTGTGCTTCAGTGGTGATATACAAGAAGACCTTTGTAGTTCCATCTTCGTAGATGACTGGGAGCTCCATCCGACAATCACCCAAATGAGCCACATAACGAAATTTATCATCCGAATTCTGATGAACATAGCATCGAGCAGAATTTCACCGGAAATAGAACAGTGCGGTTTTGTCAAGAACACTGGAACAATAAATGCTATATTTATGACCCGAATGATATAGGGTGTGGTGGGGTGCATTACGAAAGAAGGAAGATTCATATTTTTATAAATTTGCATTTGAGAAGGTAAGACACACATCTGTTAAAACTGTTGGAAATCTTTATTTGGGAAAGATCCAATAAAGAAAAACACCTGCATATGGATGGAAACAGAATTGGTATGCAAAAATAGAAAGGGGCGTAAGAGAAGGGTATTACAGGGAGGCTATGACAAAAGAGATGGAGACTTTGCCAGGGTTTTATTATCGGTGACGCAATCTTAACTATATAAGACACACAGACGATAGTGTTGTTATCAGACAGAAGGAAAACTACAAGACTTCTTAGACAATGTAGTAAAGGAAATGGAGAAGAAATGACTAAACACCAAGTGTAACAAGATAATGCATGGTTGTCAGCAAGAGAAAAATCCAGGATGCAAAATACAATTTGGAGATGTCAACACCAAGAAGGTAAATAAGTTTAAATATCTGGGAAAGGTTTTAACAGAGAACAGAAAATACGAAATACGAAGGCTGTTTGGAATAACCAAAGATGCATCCCAAAAGCTAAACAAAGTTGTTAAAAACAACGAAAAGAATGCTGGACTGCTACATAATAGGAATCCTTCCTGTGATAGCGTTGGACAATTTCCTCACAGATGAAGAGGAGACTTGAAACAACTGTGATAGGGTTCTGCAGAAGAATGCTGGGAAACCCACAGACAGGGTATATAAGGAAGCCGGAGTTTTTAAGGAAAAAAGGAAACAAAAACGGACACCCGTTCTTAGAGATAGCTAAAATCTCTGGAACGCAATAAGGAAGGCGTGCCTGGAGAATTGGACATTCATAGGGACATTAAAAGAACCGTTAAGTTACCTATCTAACGAGTTTGCTTAAAGAGATGTCAGAACAGGGACTGGGAGGGATAGTAAAATGACAAATATAGTCTAAGAGTGAGGCGACAAGCGGTTTCATGCTAGACGCAAGATAAAGAGGTTGTGGAGAGTTATGATTGCTCACGTTATGAAGGGATATATACAGCACATAGGAGGGAAGAATAACAATGGCGGTTATATTATTTTATCCGTCGTGTATTTGTATTTAAGGCAAAGTCAGAAAGAAAACGGAAAATATTATTTTATTCCGTCGTGTATTTGTATTTAAGGCAAAGTCAGAAAGAAAACGGAAAATATTATTTTATTCCGTCGTGTATTTGTATTTAAGGCAAAGTCAGAAAGAAAACGGAAAATATTATTTTATCCGTCGTGTATTTGTATTTAAGGCAAAGTCAGAAAGAAAACGGAACATATTATTTTATCCGTCGTGTATTTGTATTTAAGGCAAAGTCAGAAAGAAAACGGAAAATATTATTTTATTCCGTCGTGTATTTGTATTTAAGGCAGTCAGAAAGAAAACGGAAAATATTATTTTATTCCGTCGTGTATTTGTATTTAAGGCAAAGTCAGAAAGAAAACGGAAAATATTATTTTATCCGTCGTGTATTTGTATTTAAGGCAAAGTCAGAAAGAAAACGGAAAATATTATTTTATCCGTCGTGTATTTGTATTTAAGGCAAAGTCAGAAAGAAAACGGAAAATATTATTTTATCCGTCGTGTATATTTATTTAAGGCAAAGTCAGAAAGAAAACGGAAAGTATTACACGATGTAGTAAAAGAAAGCAAGAAGAAAGGATTATCGATGACGCAGAATATTTTTTTTTTTTACAGCCGAGGAAGAAACAGTCCAAGGAACGAGCAACGTACCAGGGAGACGCCGTTCAAGATACCAGTGAAACCGGAAAAGGTTGATTACTTACCTTGGCAAGAATTGGCTTGTGGGTTGAGTATATACCCTCGGCGACAAGGATAAGGCTGATGGGGACACTGTTCACAAGGATTACCCCACGCTTTTCCAATGGTGGCACAGCAAAGAGCCTTAGTACATACAACACCGGTCAGCTGTCCTTTGCACTGTGAGTTTGAAACTTGCGTAAAACACGGTCCTGTTCGCAAATCTATAAAACCAGAAAAAAATTAACCCTGCAAGTTGATTTTAGCAGATAATGCATTTACGTTTTACTCCTAACTTAAGGGTGAATCAATTTTAAAAAGTTTTTTTTTTAAATTTAATCTGCGACATCTGTCATTATTGCTCATTTTATTATAAAAAGTGTAATGCGTTTTGTTTAGGCGTTAACTATTTGATCATAGCTGGTACCCTAACAGGTACTACCACCCCAGGTCAGGGTAGACCTGGGAACAACAGCACTTAACAGGTGCTTTCCACGCTCCTCAAAACCGTTAATCTTCCGATCAGAGGCTTTACTGCTGGATGTATTTTATCATCAACAACGTTTAGTTGATAATATTGTCGGTTTCAAATCCATCAGTTGCTTTCTGCTGAGGATTATTCTATGCTCGATGAAGTACTATACGATTAGCCTAAATTCCCACAAATAATCACTTGTACATCCTTGCTAGACCCAGCTAATGCTCTGCGATGGAGCGGCTTAAGTGCCAAAAAAGCAGTCGTAGCCCTTGGGGCACTGTTCCGAGGTTATCTGAATACTTGGAGGAGTATCGCTGCGGAACTGAGTGAGTAGCGGCGCTATATTGATTCTAGTTTATATATATTATAGTAAAAGGAAAAACATCCCTTGGTATATAATCTAAGTGGATCCTAGTAATATAAAATATTAAAAAAGAGCTAAATGTATTATTACAGAGCAAATAAATTAGCACATAAAAAATCCAAAATTACCTCATGTGGCGAACAGACCTACTTCGCCAGTCTTATTCAACCCCAGTCTATATACCAAGGGATATATATATATATATATATATATATATAAATAAACGTGTGAATGAAATGTTTGTAAACCTGCAAAATATATTTGATAGAAAATTAAATCAAAATTTAGAGCCTTCTCATTCCTGTTGGAGGACACACCTCCATTGACCAGGTCTTTCGGGGTGTCGTCGTACTCACCACGCTTGGCTAATTGCGGGTTAGTGAGCTATTTAACCAGTCGTTGATGTTTTGAATTCAAAGTTGATCTTTTCCTAGTCTTGTTGCCACTGAAGGCTATAGGACCCAGTCTGTCTTATTTACCCATAGCAAGAAAAATACGTATTTCCAAATATACAATACAGATTAAGATATAAGCAAAAGTAACGGTGGAAAAATATTCAGACATTATAACGACACTGGAGGTTTGAAAAGACGACCAGTGCCTTGAAAACATACGTCGACAGCAGGCAATATAAATTTCGTAAGACATCGTGAAATGTCGTTCCCTAGTATTTGTGTTATAATCTACCCTTCTGTAGAGATTTGTAGCGTTTTTTTTTTATTATACTGTATTGAGAGTTTGTCGTTTAGCTTAGTCTATACTGCAGAGTATCCGATCGTGACCAGAATGACGACGCCATAAGAAATTACAGTAAGATTCTTTATGTCCATAAAATAGCAATTTGCTATTTCCCCTTCCCCGAAACAAGCCAACACAGCCAGGCTACAGCGGTATAACGAAGCAAAAAAAAAAAAAAAAAAAAACAAAAAACAAAAAAAAAAACAAAAAAAAAAAAACAGAGTTAATACACGTCTTTAAAAGTTATTAAAATAAAAAATAAAAATGCTGTATAATTAGAATAATATTAATGACTAACCTACCAAAAATGGGACGTGGACATTAACGAGTTAATGGAAATTGTCTTAATTGCGAAGTTTCTAGCGAAGTGTAGGGAAGTCAAGAAATTAAATGAACATGCAGCAGTTAGGTTACGAGAGTTGATTGTAATTTAGACCGGAATAAGATCCGATGAGAATTCTTGAGTTATTCTTGAACATAACGAAGCAACTTAGTAGACATCTCTCTCAAGGGTGAAAACGTTGCAAAAATAATAAAAGTTCTTTAAAAGCGGAGAAAAAATTTCAAAACGAAGCTGAAAACGAAACTTACCATTCTCACAAGAAACACCACCAAAGCCGTATGTACAAGCACAGCGATTTGGACCGATACAGCGACCTCCATTTTGGCACACAGTGTTACACGTTGCTGAAGGAAAAAAATATATTTAAAACTATCTGATATTTCTGGCAATGCAGGCATTATTTCTTTTATTGCTAGAAAGGATACCCGGCATTATGCTCACACAGCATTTTTTTTCTTTTGTTACGATGAGCTTCAGGGTTTTTTTTTTTCATATGTAGGGCATTATATATATATATATATATATATATATATATATATATATATATGTGTGTGTGTGTGTTTTATGTTTATTTTTATACCTATACTCGACTAGTATATAAAAAAAAACCAGATAGTACAATTTGCAAATAAAAATATATCTAAACAAACTGGTATCTGGGGAAACATTTGGAAAAGAAAAAACTAGAAACATCCGAGTAGGTCGAAAAAAGTCTAACGCCGTAATGTCTAGCCAAAAGAAAAAAAAAACGTAAAGTGCTCAATACACTTAGTAGAGCAGAGTATAAAATATTCTAGTGAGCCACAAACTACCTACCTAGGTTTCACTTAAATGGATCTTCAGGGAGTACTGAAGATTATATAAAATGTGATCGAATTGCTTAGGTAGTTACCACTTTCAAAGCAGAAAATAGCTTTATTTTAAAGATTAAATATTTTAATTATTAAAACCAACAAGACAATCGTTTACATACAAAAATCTCATGATTGAAAATGAACAAAAGTTATTTTTCAACCTGCGTATGCAAAATAGTTGTTCTCGTTAAGCAAGAACCAAAGTTGGATGAGATATAAAACACATACTGGTATAAACAGGTGATAAAACCGCATTTATTTAATGTCACAACTTTACGCACTATTTGAACGCATTCACAAAAGCTTTAATTTTCAGACTTTTTGTCTAATTTTTTTCATTATCCATAGTGATAACCACAGCTAATAAAATTATTATTTACTCATTTTAACATACCTGTAAGCCTGAATATACTTTATATTTATAGAAAACAGGTTTTCTTCCGTCTCATGAGTATTTTATTTTTCAGTCTGGGATCATCTGCTGAAAAATGTTTGTGGATAGCATTTATTTCAACCAAAAGGTCTTCCCGAAACTATGGCCTTCGTGATATATTAGGTTGAGTCCGAAGTTTTTTCCGTTTTTGAGAACTCGTAATAATGAATATAACAGTCTCTTAAAAATATGATAACTAGTGATGAGAACTGGGTTATCATAGGACAATATTAATCACAAAAAGCCGCATAGAGCAAGAAGAAAAGAAAAATGTTGGAACTCGGTTGGTCTGTGCTTTCTGACCCGCTATATTCACCTGACTTTGCACCAAACGATTATTACTTTTTGTGATCATTTTCATGAAAAAATAAATACATTCTCTAATGAAAACCAGATTTAGGAGTTTGAAATATTGCAAATCATGGTAAATATATAATTGAATAAAATGTAATTGGAATTTATTTTTTGAAGAATAAAGTAAAAAAAAAAAAAAAATCGGACTCGGCTTAATAAAGGCACAACAATTTTTGGCGAGTAAAATTGCGCATTGTATAGTAAGACATATGATTAAGTTTAATAGACAGTCACAACTTAGATTGTATTGAAACCTTTGCGGCTGTGAGCAGATATTGTTAGGTAAAAGAATTGTTAGATGATAACCAAAAATACACGTCAGATTTCAAATCAAACAACTAGAAATTTGTTAAGGAAAATTTTTTAACACAAAACAACAAACACAAGTAGCTGACGTCAGTTACTATATTAACTCGTTAATGCCTCCTGTAAAGGAAGCCATTATGAATTATGTTTAACGGTTTTGAATTATAGAGTTTATTTTTAATCATAAATAATTAAAAAAAGACTACATTACTGGGTTAATTAGACACAATAAAGTTTTATTAAATAATGCATAAGAGTTGAACAGATCTTGGCTCGACCGACTTCTCAAAATCTAAACCAAATAATTAGTCATCAGAATTATGTTTTATTAGAAGTGTAATACCTTTGTAATATGGTGGAGTAATGAATAGCGGCTCGGATTGAGTAATCGGAGAGCAGAGTTCGAATTCCAGTCGAATCCATTACATTCACTTACGTGCTAACACCCTTGGGAAAGGTGTGAATCCTCGTCTTCTCCCCCTTGCTATGGGTAAATAGCAGAACAAACCGGGTTCTATAGCCTTGGATGGCAACTTGTCTACTGCAGAAAGAAATGGTAACCTACTGCGGGAAAAATCTGCCTCGTCAGTCGTCTATCGAAAGATACATGATCGCCTACGCGTGTATTATGCATGGCACACAACTGACTGAATATCTTTATCCTTGTTGAATAGTTGAGGTATTTTGACACCAACTTTATAAGTCACTTTTAGTTAAGTATCGTGTATTTGCGGTAACATTTTTTTTCTTGAGAAATATCGTCTCAGCAGTTATATGCAAGTGGACACTGAGTGGTAACAGTCGGTTTCACGCTTGAACAGAATCTTCTGGTGTGAAGAGCATGGAACAGACTGTCGCCGCTCTGTGTTGAACCCAGTATATACTTTTATATTTATACGTTCTATCCCTGATATCGAACATCTTTGCTCATAAATATTCCACATACATACATAAACATACATACGCACGCACACACACACACACACACATATATACAGACACACATACATAGTTCTGTCGGAAAAGTAATGGGATTGGTGTCACTTTATTTCAGTTCCAAACAAATTACATGGTTTCTTCAAAGTAATCCCCATCGAGTCTATTGCACTTTTCCATCCTTCTCTGCCACGCTTGTATGCACTTTTGGAAGAATTCTTCTTGGGTGCTCCTGATCTCCGTCGTGACGGCCCTCTTGTTGGTACCCACGCTTTCAAAAAGGGTCCCCTTGATGATCCACTTGAGTTTGGGTAGAAAAAAAAGTCACACGGACCAAGATCAGATGAATAGGGAGGTTGTCCCAATACGGCGATGTTCTTTGCCAGGAACTATCAGATGCCCAAAGCGTTGTGAGCAGGTGTATTGTCGAGATGAAACAGTCACATTTTGTACTGCCACAACTATCGCATATGAAAAAAAAATGCAATAGTTGCAGAAAGCTAAGGTTACATTTATATACTCCCAAGATATGTTTGATGATAACACAATCCACTTATCCCTCATAACTTCTACAGCATACCCACTTTTGTTACTTTTCAGACAGACCCCCTCTCTCATAATATATATATATATATATATATATATATATATATATATATATATATATATATATATATATATATATATATATATATATATATATATATATATATATATATATATATATATATATATATATATATATATTATATATATATATATATATATATATATATATATTATATATATATATATATGTGTGTGTGTGTGTCCTCCTCTCTACCTCAGTGGTGTCAACTATTGGAACAGTTCATTAAACGGGGATTGATAGCCAACAAAAGCGCTTTTTTCTATCCAATCGTAAATATAATGAAATGAAAATAGAATAAAATATTTTGATTGATTTTTCTAGTACGTTGAATATAAGCACAATCACTCACCACATAATGCTAGAAAAATGTATTACTGTTAACTTGTAAATTTATTGAGATTTTAACTGTTGGGATTTGTGTTGTGTACAGAAGTTCACAATATTGTTAAAGGAAGAGGCGCAAAACACTTGCTGAAGTATTTAATTTATCAATACATAAACGAAATTATCGGAACGAAATCTGAATTACACGCACTTCTATTAGTTCATATTATCCAAGAGATTTTTAACAAAAGTCATGTGTATTGTTCATTTTAGCAAAAAGCCTCAGTCTATCTCTGAAAACATTATTCTCGTATTTTCTTTATAAAATAGTCGCGTGAATAAAATCACTTTCAAACACAGGGTCATTTTTTTTAAATCTCCCTGTGAATGATATTGTTGAAAACTTGAATAAGAAACTATCGGGATGTCCACGCGGTCGGACATGATAGATTTGGGTCTGCATTTTAAATGAATTTCTAAAATTTAATCCATGGAAGTTCCAAAGAAAATATTTAAGATTTAGGATGAATTAAAATAATTTACATTCCAATTATATATGGGGAAAATAATTATAGTTTTACATTAAATAGCTTGCAAAAAATGTCTCCCAAAATACATAGATGAAACATCTAAGAATTCAAATAAAAGATTATATGAACACAAAAATACAATGTGTTAGTCATTCATTGTTAATAGGCCTAACCATAATTTTGACTTAATCTTAATTACAACTACAGTCTCTAATTTATTAAAGCTAAAACTGAATTGAAAGGGAAATAATTTCGAAATTTACGCCCAGGATCAGATCTCTTTCCACCCCCCCACATTATTGGCGCTGCCACAAATTTGGATAATTAAAAACAGATAGAAATAAATCGGTAAAAAGTTAAATGACATCGGCTAGATAGAGTGGATAGCAAAATTTAAAACTGGGTGTCCATGTATCTTTAGCATTTTCCATACAAAACTAACCTACATTTGTTTTCTCTCTCTCATATATATATATATATATATATATATATATATAGTGTATTTAGGCAGCATCTTTTCATTCATACACGTTTCATTAAATAATATAGACAAGTGTTGTCTATTTTATGTAAATTCTTTTCATAACGTCTGATAAGTTTAATATCATTATCGTTGAACGAAGAAAGAAATTCACAATATTGATCCATATTTTTATTTAATACAATCTAAGCTTTCGGCTTACTTAAGCCATTATCAAAGATGTCAATTACAACATATTAAGCAATATACGGACAAGACAGACGTTACGAAAAAATTTACATAAAATAAAAAACACTTGTCTATATTATTTAATAAAACATGTATGAAAAAAAAAATATATATATATATATGTGTGTGTGTGTGTGTCTTTATCGATAAAACGCCTATTAGACCGAAGAACGTTTCCGAAAAAAAAACAAAAAAAAAACGCATAACAGCTTAAGAATACTCCCATTTTGTAATTCAATTAGCCACTCTTTGATTACACTGATCAACAACGCTATTTTTGGTGCCAAGAAATAAAAAAATTTTTAGCTAATTTGATTGTGCTAACCTTAGTTATTCATGGTTAGCTACCATTTTT